CCGGGAAAAAGTGCCAGTCTAGATGCAGATCTTTCGGAAAATAAAGCCTTTTCTGAAAGATAAAAAAGCGCCAGTCTAGACACAGATCTTTCGGAAAATAAAGCCTTTTCTGAAAGATCACTTATCCTTTATTTTAAGAGGGCGCTTTTTTCCGGCAAAGCTCCGAGCCGGAAAAAAGCGGCAGCCATGTTTATACAAATGAAGTGGGGGGATTTAAATCCCCGCTTCACTTGCAATTGCAATGTGTCTAATTTGCATCCCTTTTACAGAAAAGGGATGCAGTCTAGACACAGCCTAGCTGATTTAAGCTGCCAACTAAATGAAAGGGAAAGAACTATAGAAGAGCAGCCACTGTTCAAACTGGTATCTCTGGACCCATTTGGGATCCCAGACAGGCCTCCACTCATAACCACCACTGGGGGGGATTTGAACCAGGGACCTCAGTATAGAGGCAGGGTGGCTGTCGCTCACTCCCAGCAGCTGATGGAGAGGGAGACTACCAAAAGAGAGAACATTCCTTTCTAGGGAGAGAACAATTCCAAATCCTTATTCAGTCCTAATTTGATTGTGTTAAATTTGCAAATGAAATGCAGCTCTGCTTGTGTCTCTCTATAGTCTGGCTTTCAAGTGTTTTTCTAGAATGAAGGCTACTTTTAAATCTATTACTGAGTGTCCAGGGAGGTTAAAGTGTTCTTCTACTGGTTTTTGTATGTTATCTTTCTTGATGGCTGATTTGTGACTATTTATCCTTTGGCACAAAGACTGTCTGGTTTGGCCAATATACATGGCAGAGGGGCACTGGTGGCACTTGATGACGTATATCACATTCGTGAATGTGTAGGTGTATGAGCCTCTGCTGGTGTAGCTCATGTGTTAGGTTCTGTGATGGTGTCACTTGTATAGATACATGGACAGACTTATCAATGGGGTTTGTTGCTGGGTTAGTGTTCTGTGGTGTGCTGTGTAGCTGCTGGTATTTGCTTCAGATGGAGAAGGCGCCATGTGTAGGCAAGGACTGGCCTGTATCCCAAGGTCTGTAGGAGTGAGGGATCATTTTCTGGGATAGGTTGCAGATTTTCAGATTGCTAGAAGGACTTTGAATTGGTCTCGTCAACACTGGCCCTACACATGATAAATAATGCCCTTCTTTTAATATATGCATGTGTGTGTACCCCTGCCACTGAAATTTCCACTCCAAGGCATCTAACAAAGTGGTCCCCATGTATATTTTCTTGGTGACATGCCCCTCCTTCTGTATCCTGTATCTATCCTTTTGGGTTTTATCCTGGTGCAACCATATTGGCCACTTGTGGCTCCTCTTTTTTCTATGTTGGAATAACTAAGGCTACATCTATACTACATATAAAACTCCGCTGCATCCATGGAATGTGTCTGCTCTTCCACTTTTTTTTCTGAAAGAGGAGGATTTGTTCTGAAATTTGGCGCAGTGTAGATGGGCCAAATTTCGGAAAAGCCTCTTCCAACAAAACTCTTGGAAAAAGGTATGCAAATTGTGGGATGGAATTTGCATACCTTTTCCCGATAAAGCATGGGAGTCTAGACGTAGCCTAGATGTTGAGCCTCTAGTATTACATCTTTTAAGAACTGCCAGTCCCCTTGGAATCCTTTTCTTCCTAATTGATGCCTTGCATGTTCAAGAGCTTCAGAAGGTAGCCGAGTTAGTCTGTTACAGAAAAAAACAGCAAGCAAATGGTCTGGTAGCACTTTATAGACTAACAAAACGTGTAGATGGTATCATGAGCTTTCGTGGGCACAGCCCACTTCTTCAGGTGACCGGAGTTATGACTAGGGGATAAGAAAACTCAAAATAAATTGGAGAAGGGAAAGGGGAGGGACAGAAAGATGCTCTGTCGCCCACCCCCCTACCTCTATACATAAAGTATCAGGAGAAAGGGTGCTAAAATATTCAGAAGCCAGTGGCAGAACATTCCTGTTTACCTAACCGTAATCTGACAGATCTGAAGGTGGCGGTCTTGTCACAGGCCAGCTCCTCAAGCCAAATACACAGGAAAAGCTTAGAATTACAATACATATGCAAATTCAATTCAATTACTACTGGATTTACTCAAGATATGGGGTGGTGGACCCTTTATCACTGAAGGTGCTAACAGCTTTCTGAATGGTATCCTTTCTGCCTTACCAATCTATCCACTGACTTTGATCTTTATCTACTTAGGTTTAGCACTGAGTAGGAAAACCCCCTGCGTTCTTTTGACTTTCTTTTGAAAGAATGCAGTTGTAGTGTGGACATACCCAATGTCACTGCTCTCCAGAATACAGTTCCCTATCCCATAAGAATAACCTGCAGTTTTTGTTCCTAGATATATGACTCTACATGTGGGTATACAAAATGTATACTGTTTGTACCCAGCTTACCCACTCTGTATTAACGAATTATTCTTAACTTTATTTGCCAGTTCATCAGTTTGACACAAGCAAACTTTACCAGCAATGCCTTTGTTTTCTTTCAGTTCACTGATGATTGATCAAGATAACTTCCATGAAGATTAAGTTACATTTTGAGATTCATTCTGACAATAAAAGTAGTCCTCTTCATTTCCTCTCTAGAACTTGTGTGCTCTGCTTTGCACCAGTAATGGTTGTGTTGGGTCCTCTGTGTTATACCTGTAAAAGCTGGTAGGGAAGAAAGCAACTAGAGAAAGCATTGCTGATTCTGTAATAAACAGCAGTTGTTTAGGATTGAAGGTCTTTGAAACCTTCAGGTAAACATACTGTAGTATCTTGGGGCTTGAATTAAATTTATATAGGAAGAGGGATCCACTCTGCCTGGTTCCATGGAAGAGAGAGCTGTAGGAATTTTAAAGAATAAAAGGTAGAAGAAGAAAGAAAAATAGGACTGTACCACTGAACAAACTGCTCCCCAAAGAGCTGAATGTCTTTCACATGTCTGGAGAAAACACTGCTATGAGGGCAGAGAACTGGTATTTTGAATGTAATTACAAAGTAATCTGGAACTAACACTTGCTGTGTACAGGCAACACACAAACAACTTTGGACTTCTATGTAGGAATGTAATAGTATAGTTGATTAACCAATTAGCAAACACTTATAGATTAATGTTATAGACCAGTGGTCCCCAACCTTTTGGGGCTGCCAGGCAGGGGCGGGGCTGCATATGTGCCATGCACCTGGGGGCATCACCGCGCATGTGCCACGCTCCTGGGGCAGGGCCATGCATGTGCCCGAGGCACAAGAATGGCTCGGGCCAGCCCTGGTCACTAGGCGGGCGCACATAAATGCCCCGATGGGCGCACAGGCACTGTGTTGGGGACCACTGCTATAGACTACATGCATTTCCCCCTCCCCGACAGTAATTTTTTTAGCATGCTGGCCAGCAGCCCTGCTCAGTCTTGGCTTGCGCTGGATCTGGGACTTACCCCTTCTGCAGCTCTGCATTTAAAGTGTATTAGGAGGTAGGCAACCTGTCTCAGTTCTGGCTCACACTGGGTCTGGGTGCACAGACCACCACCTGGAGAGGGGCTGCTGTTATCCTGCCTCTGATACAGAGGCAGCAATGCGGGGTGACAGGCAGGGGCGGCCCGTGGCTATAGGTGGACTCGGCCTCTGCCTACGGCACCGCCACCCGGGGCACCCAATGATGACGTCACGGGCGCCCACTGATGACGTGAGTCCATTGATGGCCCTGCAGGCAGGGGCACTGATCACGTGCTCCGCCTGGGGCGCCAGCTACCGCAGCCAGCCTTGGGCCGCTCCTGGTGACAGGCAGCCAGCCCATGAGCTGGCTCCCCTCATGCACCAGCTCTCACCTGGCACTCCAGCTGCTGCCTCTGATACAGCTGCCAGACCCACCCCCCAGGGACTATAGAATAATTGAGTAACTGATAAGAATTCATGAGGTTAATCAACTATTAAATTAACCAATATTTAATATCGCTACTTCTAATGGACTAATACAAATGCTTTGGCAGGTTAGGGATTTACTCAAGCCATTCATTTAACATATAAAAGGGAGAGAGTTTCATCCTAGGAGCCAAAGGGACCCTACCAAGAGGCATAGGTGCCTGTTATGGACATATGTGATGTTAGTCACAATAACAAGCAAACCTTTTCCACTTTGCTAGACATGTGGCCCTAGTTTCCTGCTGCTGAGTAAGATCTCCCTTACCAGTTCCAAGCGCAGAATCTCCATGGGTCAGCCATGAAGCTTCCAAGCCATGAGGCAAGAGGGGCTGAAGGTTGGGGTGATGAAGATGACCATTGTCCTGCATGATCAGGACAGGGATGAATTTCAACATGATGGGGGCATCCACTGACAGCTACAGGATCATGGTGTACCAGCAATGTAAAGACCATGCTCCTGTCACCAGAATTATCTCTGCCCCATCCCTGCAGACCTTGTGTGTGTGAGGGATCAAGGAAAAGGCATACAAGTGGCCTCCCCAAGGCAGCAAGAATGATGGAGCCTGTGCTATTTCTGGAGGGAGCAGAACACTGGGCACCTTTCACTAGCCAGCTTGGCTTCTGTGACAGACCGGGCTGGGGCTGGGCACAGCTGAGGGCATCCGCTTAGGGTGAATTGCTCAAACTCAGGGCTCCGCCCCAGACTGGAAACCTTCCCAAGCAGGCCACAAACCAATCACACCGAGCGCTTCAGCTTCCAATCTGGCCAGCCAGAAGCCTCACGAGCAAAACCCCTCTGACACTCCAGCGCCCCTGTGCCCCAATCAGCCCTGGGCCTAACACACAAGTGAGGGATTATAGAACCCAATTTCACCTTCCCCAAATAGTCCCAAGAAACCAGCCACAGATCCCAGTTAATTTACACTCTGAATCTTATCCACAAGATCACACTCAGGCAATCCTTTAGAATCTAAAGGTTTATTACTAAAAGAAAGAAAAGCATGAGAGTAAGGTTGTTAAAGAAAATACTTTACATGCCAATCACCCAGTTCTCGATGCAGGCTCTTAGCAGAGATGTTATAAACTGCTATCTTAAAAGTCTCTGGTGTACATCCTATGTCAGTATGGGTCCATGGTTCTTCCCGGCTCATTGTTCCCTGCAAGGCTGCATCTGGGATAAGGAGCTGAACTCAAGACAAGATGGAGCGTGCCACATGGCACTTATATATCTCCCCTGGCACCTTCCTGGCCAGAGAAGGTCACAAGGTCCAGCGACCTATCCCTGTGTCTTATGCTGGCAGCCCTTCGGCCCTGGCTGGTTTGGAGGTATCAGTCACGTTCCTGGGGTATATGAACATCTGACGAAGTGGGTCTTTGCCCACGAAAGCTTATGCTCCTACACTTCAGTTAGTCTATAAGGTGCCACAGGACTCCTCGCCGCTATTCCTGGGGTATGTGTTAATTATCACAGTCACTGGCTGAACATTTAGCCCATTGCTCTGCCTCAGAGAATTTTCCAGCATCAACAGAGCACATATTTATAACTCCACACACCTATATCATGCAAGTACATGAATAGCACGTACAGAATCAGTAAAAGAAGAGGTTACTTACCTCGTAACTGTTGTTCTTCGAGATGTGTGCCTCATGTCCATTCTGATTAGGTGTGCACATGCCGCGTGCACGGAATCCAGAGCTTTTTTTCACTTAGCAGCATCCATAGGGCCAGCAGGGAGTCCCCTGGAGTGGTGCCGGTACACCAGTGTCTATATACCTCTGCTGGCCCCTCCATCCCCTCAGTTCCTTCTTGACGGTTCCTTCCGACAAGGGGAGGTGGGTGGGATGCAGAATGGACATGAGCAACACATCTCGAAGAACAACAGTTACGAGGTAAGTAACCTCTTCTTTGAGTGCTTGCTCACGTCCATTCTGATTAGGTGACACACTAGCTGTTCGCTTGGAGGAGGGGTCGGAAGGTGACTACTGACTACACTTTGGCTGAGCCCAGAACTGCTGCTCCAACCACAGCGTCCCCCTTGCCAAGTGCGAGATTGTGTAGTATTCCGCGAATATATGAACTGATGACCATGTGGCTGTCTTACAGATTTCCAGCATCGGCACATGCGCTAGAAACGCCGCAGAAGTCGCCTGGGCCCTCATGGAGTGGGCCGTTAGCAGCAGCGCACGCTTGCCCATAGTCTCGTAACACTGCCGGATGCAAGAAGTAATCCATGAGGACAACCGCTGCGCCGAAATAGGCAACCCTTTCATCCTTTCCACCACAGAAATAAACAATTGCAGTGATTTACAGAACTCCCATGTCCTGTCTATGTAGAAGGCTAGCGCCCTCCTGACATCCAAACAATGCAGGGCCTGTTCTCTGGGAGTGGCGTGCGGTTTGGGATAAAACACCGGTAGATAGCCTGTGAAAGGTGGAAGTACAATACCACCTTGGGTAGGAATCCCGGGTGAGGCCACAGCCTTATCTTACCCTTGAAGAATACCGTGTATGGAGGTTCTGAGGTCAACACTCTAAGCTCTGACACTCTTCTGGCTGATGTAATAACCACCAAGAAAGCCACCTTGTAGGACAAGTACTTTAAGGAGCATGAGGCCAGTGGTTCAAAGAGAGGCTTCATGGGGCCGGGCAGGACCAAATTAAGGTCCCAGGTTGGGACTGGTGGCCGATTGTATGGGAGCAGTCTGTCCACACCCTTCAAAAACTGTTTAACCATTGAATTAGTAAAAATAGACCTCCGTCCTTCTCCCGGGTGAAAGGCCGCTATCGCCGCCAGGTACACCCTGAGAGATGCCGGGGCAAACCCTCACTCCCGCAAGTGAAGGAGATAATCCAGTATAAGCGGGATTGCCGCATCCCCTGGGCTGAGCACCCTATTACCCAGCCACTGAGTGAACCTCTTCCAATTTGCCTCATACAGCGCCCTTGTAGGCGGCTTTCTACTCCCTAAGAGCACATTCTGGACTCCTCTAGAGCAAGACTGCTCTAGGGCTGACAGCCAGACAGGCGCCACGCCGCCAGGTATAGGGACAGCAGACTCGAGTAGAGGGCTACCCCTTCCTCGTGGCTCTGCGTGATTAAGTCCGACTGGAGAGGCAGCATAAGAGGTCCCTCCACCACCAGCTCTAGGAGGGTCGTGTACCAGTGCTGGCAGAGCCACGCCGGCACTATTAGGATTATCTGAGCCCTGAATCTCACCACCCTGATCAGAGTCTCGTGGACCAAAGAAAATGGGGGGAAAGCATACAGTAGGCCCTTGGGCCACCTCAACTGTAGTACATCCCCTCTGGATCCTTGCCCATGGCCCATGTACGAGCAGTATGCCTGGCATTTTGCGTTGCTCTCTGACACGAATAGGTCAAGTTGGGGATATCCCCACCTTTGGAAGATTCCCTGCAACACGTCCTGCCTTATCGTCCACTCGTGTGCCTGGATAGATTGGCTGAGTCTGTCTGCTAAGCCATTCCTCACCCCTGGCAAGTGAGATGCTTTCAGGGGGATGTGGTGGCACACACACATCTCCCACAGCTCCAGGGCTTCCTGACACAGGGCAGAGGAACGTGTCCCCTCCTGCTTGTTGACATAGTACATGTCAGTCGTGTTGTCTGTTAGCACCGCCGCCACCTTGCCCTGCATCTGAGGGAGGAAGGCCCTG